ATTTGAGAGGTGGAGCGGAACCAGAAAGCCACGTAAGATGGAGTGTCCAAGCAGACAGGAGAAAAACTAAGTGGGGTTGATATCAAGGAGATAGATAAAATTGGGCTCAAATTCCGCTGAAATCTCAACAAAGTGAAGACAGGGATGTCACCATGGTTTTGGCAGTATGTCACACACTGGAAACCTTCATGGAGTTTTGAAGGTGAAAGTATTTCTGGTGTGGATCACAGACATGACAGGAATAGTTAGGATAAAAACCCTGCTCTTGAGACTTCATGGGAAATAATGTTCAGAAATTATTCTCTCTCGTTGGATAAGGTTCCATGGAGAATGTAGATTTGATACCACAGAAGAGAGGTTAGAATAAATATAAATTCCAGCTGTTGCAGGTGTGTTGTTCTGACACCTCTCTATTTTTCCTGATCTATGGCTCTGGCTACAAGAATCCTGCTATCCGCTTAGCTCGTGATTAGGTCGTTCACAGGTGGGACCCTTTGTCTTCAAGACAGAAGCAGAATCTAGGGGGTAGCTGGGGATGGCCACTGTGTGTGGACAAGTGCTTTCAATGACATCTCTCCTTGCAGGCATGTTTGGAGGGGTCCCATCTTCCTAGTAAAATGGCAAGGAGGGTGTCAGCACTCAAGGGTGCGAATGGTGGAACTGGAGGCTTGAGGAGAGAGGAGTCAAGTAGGTGGAAGGAGTCGTAAGTAGCCTTGCACTCCTGATTGGGGGGCAGCACAAAACATTCCTCCGCTGTTGCAGGTGTGTTGTTCTGACACTGCTCTATTTTTACTTCTTTATGGCTATGGCTACAAGAATCCTGCTGTCTGCTTAGCTAGTGATTAGGCCGTTCACACTATCCGACTCCTATAACCTCAAGTTTCTTTTAACCCCTTGAGTTGAGAGCATATTTTGAAATTGTGGTTGTTTTAAGCAAGGGGAAAAAAAAGGAAAGAAAGAACATTGACAGAGAAGTTAGAAATCAGATGCAGACCAGAAAATAGAGTAGTTGCTCGTTTCATCATTTATTTCAACAGGTGCTCCGTTCAGGTCAGTGACAGGCAAACGGTGTTAGAGGGAATAGTTTGGATATTTCCAATTGTGTGACATTTGTAGGAGGAGAGAGCCACTTGTTTGTCCCTGCCGCTTAGCTCCAAAATAATCACACAGAAACTGTATTAATTAAATCACTAGCTTCTTATTTGCTAACCCTTACATCTTAATTTAACCCATTTCCTTTCATCTGTGAATCACCACAAGGTCATGGCCTACCAGAAAAGTTTCAGCTTGTCTATCTCTGGTGGCGGCTCCATGGCAGCTCCTGACTCTGCCCTTCTTTCTCCCACCATTCAGTCCAGTCTTCCCTGCCTACCTAAGTTCTGCCCTATCAACAGGCCAAGGCAGTTTCTTTATTCATTGATGGTAATCACAGCACACAGAGGGGACTCCCACATCAGACATTCTTCTAAATATTAATGTGACATCTAATAGTGGGCCAGACTTTGTGTTATATACCAGGGATTTCGAAGCGTGTGCGTTTGAGGTACTGTGAAGATAGAAATGTAAGTGGTACCAAGCTGTGAGGAGAACAGCTCATGAGCGGGATAAAGGGAGGCACTTGGCTAAAGGTGCTGGGCTTCAGGTTAGCAGGAGGGAAATGTAACTTAGTGATACGGATTGGGGAGAGAAATGTAGTTGCGCAGATGGTCAGGGCACAGAGAACAGGGCAGCCCGGTGAGTGGGGCTAAAGACCAGGAACTTATAATTCTTGCTGTTTCATGTAAATTTCCAAATCCATTGCAGTTAGCTGACTCTGAAACTCTATTATGTGTGGGCAACTGTCATTATCATCCATTACTGTTGCATGCGTACAGGTGGAGAGACCAGAGGTCGATGGTGGGGGTTCTTTCCATATTGCTCTCACCTCACTTTTCAAGACAGGATCTCTCACAGAACCTGGTGCCCTCTGATGTGACAATACCAACTGACCAACGAGCCAGTGGGCTTCCCGTCTCCAGCTCCCTGCTCCCAGTGTTGGTGGCATAGGCATGTAACACTTCGGCTCTTGGACATTTTTCCTACAGGGCTGGTGAGAATCAAATTCATGTTCTCAAACTTTGCCCTGCAAGTACTTTAGTGACCGGGTGAACTCTGCATCCTCTCAGATATTTTTAGAGGGTTAATATGGCTTATAAGATAAAATTTATACCTGTGTGGAAACAAAAGAACAATCTGTGGGATAAACTTTTTCATCATCGTTAGGTGGAAAGGGGTGGAAAGCTCTCCCACACCCTCCTCCTCCTAGCTGTGGAGGGTTGGATGCTCTTTGCTACTTCAGCCTCCTTTGGGGAGGCGGGCAATTCACCATAACACAGCTTGTTTTGTCAGATGGGTCTGTTTACAGAAAGGAAATGTGTTATTTGGAAGTAATTATAAACAGTTGTGTCACATAAGGGCAGTGTAGTACCCTGCATTTGTGTCTTGCCTAACAGTTTGCAAAGTGCCCTCATATTGCAATGATATTAACCTAACATTTGCTGCGTACATATTATGTGCTCGGCTTTATGCTGGAAAGTTCTACATGGCTTATTGCATTTCATTCTCACGACAACCTTCTGAGGTTGGTTTCACTGCTCTCTTCACTCTGTAAACAGAAGATGGAAACATAAAAATTAAGTGAGTTCACTAAGGTCATATGACAAGGATACAAAGTATCGCAGCAGGGGTACAGTGACTCACTGTCAAGCAGAAATCAGATTTCCCTGAGTTAAAAGGAAAATCCTTTTATATTTAAATTAAAGACATGGCAATCATAGTTAATTTTAGTTTGTGCTTTTACTAGAGAATCTATCTACCTAGCATCTTTCCTTTCCTTTCTTCCTCCTTTATTATTTTTTTTTTTTGCAGAAGGTGTATGAAATATGTCAGTGACTGAAGAAGTGACAGATTTCCAAAGACTTGTTTTCTTTTTTCTTGTATAACTGGAAAGCGTCCAACTAATGAGGCAAGTCTGATTCCTCTTGCTAAGGACTCTTGGTGGTTATTGATACCCTGCAGGTGAAATTACTCAGGGAGCTACCGGGCAGCTTCAGGTTGTGCCTAGCATGTAGGGAACCCTCAAGTCTTGCTTGGTAAATGGTAACCATTAATGGTCAGTGGTGACAACGACAGAGCTCATGCAATTGTTATGCCCAGATCTGCTAAGTTCCCCCCAAAACCTACAAGGACACCGAGTCCCATATGTAAAAGCAAAGAGCCTTTATTTTATACAAGTTTGCAAACTTGATCTCTCCATGAATCCAACATATTGGAATAATCAAAAAAGCCTTGAGCACACTTAGAGTTGAGTTTTTATAGTAGTAAAGTTGGGGGTGAGGGATTTCTATTAGTTCAGGACCCCTGTGTGGCTAACATTTGTCTAGGGGTGTCCTGGTGAATGTGTGCTGGCAGGTGATCCTATCTACAATGGTTGGAACATTAGGAATTTCCTTTGGATGGTCTGTTCCTGGGTGGTGCCTGGGTAATCTCAGTTTGTGGTCCTTCCTGTAACCAGGTGTTGCCTCGGGGTAAACTACTGAGACTCAGGCCTCCATTAAACTTATCTTGGCTGAGTCCTACACTGGCAGGTGATAATGGTTGGAAGTTAAGAACCTCCTTTCGGTGATCTATTCCTATTAAGCTTATCACGGTTGGCTGAGTCCTCCAGGATCAACTGGATCCTGCAGCTTGACTACCTCCTTCCAGAAGGAAGGGGCCGGCAGGATGCAGAGAACACTGGTCATGTCCCCGTTTAGGGCAAGGCTCCTTGAGGCTGTCTGCAACTGTCTATTATGGTAGCAGTAACCTATTGTTCTAAGAATAGAGGAAATAATTTGATTTCCACAGCAAGACTTGGGTCTGTGGCTACTCACTTAAGGATAGTACAGTTGCTTGTAGTCGTTCTCACTTGTGTGAATTGAATCCCTCATGCTGATACTGCTGCTCCTATTTCGGTGTTTGACTCTGCTGCAGGATGTGCCTTTTATTTGGTCCCCAGACTTCCCGGTAAAATCTCTGTGGATGAGCGGGGCAGTGCCAGCTCTGGGAAAGGGGGTGTTCACTGTGGTGGTGCTCCTCTTGTTTCTTTTGTTTCCTTTTGGGCATGCCCTGTCTCTTGACAGAACTCGGGATTTTCAGAGCCCATTTGTCAGCAGCAGTAGAAGACGCATCTCAACTCTGCCTGCTGTGCAGTGTGAAGGATTGTCTCCCCTGGTGTCTCACTTGGGCGTAGTGGGAGTCTTGATTTCAGGATGAGAATGAAGCTTGGGTTATTTGGAAAAACATGTACTTAGAGACCGAATACAGTGTGGGATTTAAGGAAAAGATGCGTTCGAGTGTCTCAGCAATAGTGTGATTCTCTCTCTTTCAACTCTCCATGTTTGTGTGGGTAGATAAGAAGTCAAAGTTAGTTGTCTATATTCTTTAGTCTTTCTCCACCTTATGTCTTTGACCGGTGTCTTACTGAACCTGGATCTCATTGATTAATTTAGACTCATTCACTAGAAAGGCCCAAGGATCTCTCATATTTGCCTCCCTGGAACTGAGTTTATACATACATAAACTCACCTGGCTTTTAAAACACACTGGCTCCAGTAACAAACCCAGGCCTTCATACTCTTCTGGTAAGCACTCCACTGAGCCATCTCCCCATCCCTGGTCTCCTGGCTTTGAAATTACATCATTTAAAGGGTACAATCTGCAACTAGGTTCAAAGATGAAGCTAGTTTCAAAAATGAAGTAAAAGCTGTATGAACAGATTTACCTATTTCTCTTATGAGGAAGAATTTTCTTTTGCAAATGAGATTATAAAGTTGTTGTGAGATCCATTGTTCAGGGTTATAGAGGAGAAAAGGTGCTTTGTATGGATAAAAATCAAAGGGCAGCAGGATTTAAGACTTACACTTAGGTGGCAAGCATGCATGGTTCAGTAACTGTTTTACTACTCTTGTCTTTCACTCCAGGTTTGGTGAGACATCCTATGTCAGAAGGTGTGTAGTGGCTGTGCAGACTCTCAGAGAGGCACAGGTCAGTCCTAGCAGCACTGTAGAACTGAAGGTGGGCCTGCCAGTCAGGACAAACTTTGGGCCTCACATACTGTGTTCTGGTAACACACCAATTTTTTTTAATGGTTTAAAAGGTTTATTAAAAAGAGTCATTTCTGCCTTAAAATTTAGCATTTTTCACCTTTGCCTTTTCTCTTTCTTCAAAAATTTTAACAAGCTGTCTAGTCTTCTCACAATTTTTTTTTAAAATATAATTTTTTATTGAAAAAAAATTTCCGCCTCCTCCCCGCCTCCCATTTCCCTCCCCGTCCCCCTTTTCCCCCCTCCTTCCTCTTCTCTCCCCCTCCCCCCACTCCTCTCCCCCTCCCTCTCCAGTCTGAGGGGCAGCAGGGTTCCCTGCCCTGTGGAAAGTCCAAAGTCCTCCCCGCTCCATCCCGGGTCTAGGAAGGTGGACATCCAAACTGGCTAGGCTCCCACAAAGCCAGAACATGAAGTAGGATCAAAACCCAGTGGCATTGTCCTTGGCTTCTCAGCAGCCCTCATTGTCGGCCATATTCAGAGAGTCCGGTTTTATCCCATGGGAAGATTGGGATAAAGGAAGGTTGGATAGGGGAGCAGGGAAGCACATATCTTAGTTAAAAGAGCCACCTTAGTGTTGGCAAGAGACTTGAACCTAGAGTGGCTCCCAGGAGCCCAAGGCGATGTACCCAGTTAGTCCCTTGGGAAGCTGAGGATAGGGAACCTGAACTGACCCTATCCTATTACTGACGAATATCTTTCATATCACCATAGAACCTTCATCTGGTGATGGATGGAGATAGAGACAGAGACCCACACTGGAGCACCGGACTGAGCTCCCAAGGTCCCAATGAGAAGCAGATGGAGGGAGAACACGAGCAAGGATGTCAGGACCACGAGGGGTGCACCCACCCACTGAGACAGTGGGGCTGATCTATTGGGAGCTCACCAAAGCCAGCTGGACTGTGACTGAAACAGCATGGGATAAAACCGGACTCTCTGATCATGGCGAACAATGAGGACTGATGAGAAGCTAACACACCAATTTTAATGAAGGAAAAAAGTATAACAATTGCTCCTCTTAAAGTTGAAAACATCATATGAATTTGAGGAAGGCAGAGGTAGCAAGGCTTGGTGGAGGACCATTTAGCTCTCTGCGCTGCTAGTTTTATGTTCACTTGACACAAGCTGGAATCTATAGAGGGAGCCTCAACAGGAAAAATGCCTCCATATGATCTGGCTTTAAGGCATTTTCTTAATTAGTGATTGATGCAGAGGGTTCATCCCATTGTGGGTAGAGTCACCCCTGGGCTGGTGGTTCTGGATTCTATAAGAAAGCAGGCTGAGCAAGCCATGAGGAGTAAGCCACCAAGCAGCATTCCTCCATGGCCTCTGCATCAGCTCCTGGCTCCGGGTTTCTGCCCTGTTTGAGTTCCTATCCTGACTTCCTTTGATAATAAACTGTGATGCAGAAACATAAGCTGAATAAATCCCCAAGTTGCTTCTTTGGTCATGGTGTTTCATCACAGCAATTAAAACCTTAACTAAGACACTCTCTTATGACAGAAGGCTTCTGTTATGATCTATGTAAGAGCTCAGGGGATAAGCAGCCTGTTTTCTGTATTCTCCTGTGGTATTGCACTCTAGAGAGGAGAGACTTGCTCCAGACACAGGACTGAGTAAGGTGTCTCTTGAACATCAGGACTCTCTACTGATTGTTGGGGTTATCTACCATTGATGTATTACACATAGAGAAGTTAGATTAGTACACAAGGATGGTATCCAAATATGAAATAAAACTCAGAGGATACTGGGGCCTAAGGAATCCAGGCTTGTTGGTGTCTGTGATGATGTGATTTTGTGTACTAATGTGGTAATGTTATGATGCCCAACTTTGCTTTTGAAAACATGAATCTAAATATTTCTGTGAAAGTATATCTCAGATGTGATTACCATTTGTTAGTAAGTTTTCTGTTACTTAAGAAGTAATTTCAGTAAGTCAGCCTAGGAAAAAAAGAAAGAATTATTTTGTCTCATAAGTTTGGAAGTTCTGTTCATGGTCCACTGTTTCTGTTATTAAAAATGATTTATTCGCTCTTCTTTTTATGAGAATTTTATCTGCATACACAATGGGCAACACTCATTGTACATGGTGCCCATGGATGCCAGAAAAGGATGGCAGATATCCTGTAACTGGATTATAGGTGATTGTAAGATGCTATGTGGGTGTTGGGAACAAAACCTGGGTCTTCTGGGAGAGCAGCGAGTGCTTGTAATCCCTGGACCAACCATTTTTCTAGTTCTTCCCTTGTTAGTTTTGATGCCTGTGATGAGGTAGACTATCACTGTGGGAATTTGTGGTGGATCAAAGCCCTCAACTCATGGCTATGTTGCGAAAGAGAGAGGGAAGGAACTGAATTCCACAGTCTTCTTACCTTACCTAATTGGTTGAAGGATTATAAAGAAAAATGGTGTTTGCCTGATACAGAGATGAATACTTTGCATTGGTATGGATTTTGGTCTATTGATACAAATTTAGGGTGAAAAGGGGAAACAGGGTGGGAAGTCCTTCTGTATATGTGTTGCTTTTATTGGTTAATGGAAATTGACGTTCCTGTCAACTTCTCTCTCTCCTACTTTTGGAGATTGGCCCTCATCTGCAGGAACACTTACAGCTGTCTAGGAGAATGGATGGAGGTTGCACTGCAGGGAAGCATCCTTTTTCTATTCGCCTTTTGGACTTAGCTTCCATATCCTGAAGCACAACAGCCACCTCCAAGTATGCATGCTTTTTCTAGTCAAGAATTCCAGAATTATGCTGTTTGTTCTTTCTGTGTGGCTCAGGTTTCTGGGACCACGTGTCTCCTCCAGTCACCCATCGCCTGCTTATGACTCTCCCATGGTCATAGCCACTGTAAGTAGTGACATCACCCTAATCTCTGCCTCATCTTCATCTGGTGTTCTCACCTTGTGCTGTATGTCTACAAATTTCCCTTTTGTATAGCAGCAGTTATAGTGCACTATGGGCCTATTCTCCTCCTTATGATATGTAATTGTGTATGTAATTACCCTATTTTCAAGTGAGTTCCCATTTTGAGGTACTGGGGGTTTAGGATTTATTTCCTAGGATTAGACACAATTCAACCCATGACTCCCTTTAATAACTGTGTTGCACCCTGCATCTAGAAAATCCTTTCAGCAGGGTGCCCATGCAGCTTTGAGTAGCTCTGTAGCATCATAGAAACCAAAGAACATGGTGCCTTCACCCGTGTACTGTAGCAGAGAAGGGAGAATAATAAGCGTGATTAAAAGCCTCATTTAGAAAAGGAAGGGAAACAAATGTGGTGATTGTTTCACAGTAATTGTCTCCTCCTGCTGGGAAGAACTTGCTTTTCCTCTTTGGAGATCCTCAATGAGAAGATATCCCCTGATCATTCCGCCTGCAGCCTCTATCTTGGCCATCTGGTTCCTTCTTCTTTTCCCATTTGTGTCCATATTAATGCTGTGGTGGACACTGAAGAGGATGCCTCACTGTAGGGTAAATAGCCTTGCTGGATAGTGCAGATCCCGATGGCATTGCTACAGAATCTTTGCTGTGCCTCTGGCCAGTCCCTGGCTTTTATAGACTGGATTTCAGATGCCTTTCCCCAATGCAAAAAGTGTTCAAGGTGTTTGTCTCTACTCTATCAATTTCTATGGGGGAGAAACATCTTTTATAGTGAAGACAGAACTTGGGCCAGGAAGAGGCAAGAACGGATGTTGCAGTGAAAACTTTAAGGGTATCCACCCTGCCCTTGCCTGGGTATTAGCTTAAGGAGGATCCTACTGGTGTGGGCAACATTTGATGGTTAGAAGGGTGGTCTCTTGTGTGCTGATGTAGAGGCAGTGAGACTGTGGGGATGGGGACTGAGTGGAGATGTACTGAACCAAGAGCCTTCTTAAGTATTCTGCATGGTCACTTCTCTTTTCTGACACCAGTGTTTATGTTAAGAGACCACATGTAAGCCTACACTCATGGGCATTGAACTCTTCAGTCTTGTTTTCTCTGTCTATAATATTCCCATTCTATCTGAGTTAATGATGACTGTAACAGTGAATTTATTTTGGAAAACGACACTTCATTTTTGGCTAGGAGGCTCATGAAGTATGTAGGACAGTGCCATTCTTAGCCCCTGGTAAGGCCACTGCTTTGCTACTTCTGTTAAATGTCTGTTTGTTTTGGGGTCCACATATTGACTTTCCTTTTAAAACCCTGCCAAGCTTCAGATTATGAGTCTGTCAACTTGTGAGACCACAAACAGAGAGCGCTACCCTTAGCCAAGTGATCCGTCCTTCCTTCTCTGCCAGTCTACTCGTTAGCTCTAACCCCGAGTCCTTGGTTAAAGAGGGAAGGAGGAGTATCAAACACTCCTATTTTCTCTACACTGCTGCTTCAGTTAGGGGGTCATCTGCTTTTTAAGATCAGAGCATTTCACTGTGACCTAGTGCGCCACTGAAAAATAAATGCTGCCAGCATCTGAGTGTCCTCTGATCACATCTGCTATACCTTTGCAATGTTTTAAAACTGGCATGTAGCTCCCACCTACTGCATGTGACAGAGAGCATACATATTTAAGACACATTTGTGTTGGCATAGTTTATGTAAACTAATCATGAGAGGCTATTAGTTGTTGACAGAGGTTTCTGTCTCGCCTGGTCCTGCAGTTGTTCAGTCCCAAAGAAACACACAGAGGTCTATATTAATTATAAACTGGTTGGCCTATTAGCTCAGGTTTCTTATTAACTCTTACAACTTATATTAACCCATAATTATTGTCTGTGTTAGCCAAATGGCTTGGTAACTTTTATCAGCAAGACATTCTCATCTTGCTTCCTCTGTGGCTGGGTAATGACTGCAGACTGACCCTTTCCTCTTCTCAGAATGCTTCTGTTCTTGTAGTCCTGCCTCTACTTCCTGCCTGGCTTCTGGCCAATCAGTGTCTTATTAAAACAATACAAGTGACAGGGTACAAGACCACTGTCCCATAGCAGTAAGTCACAACCACTAGGAGAGTTCAAGAGTTTCTTGTATTCTGAAGATCTTCACCCACTTGTATTCTGAAGATCAAGGCCCAACAACTTGTAACACCAGTTTCTGTTAGGAGCAAAGGGTTCTGACTCCTAAGATTTGAGATCTTTAACACTCCTGGCAAATGCCAGGTGGCATTATAAGCTGTCATTCACTTAATATAAGGTTACTGACTGGAGGTTCAGACCAGTAAGTCTCTGACCTAACACCTATGTAGATCTCTGGCCCCTTGAGATTGGAACCACAAGTATCTGTTGGTCCAGACTGTTGTTCTCTGGTACCCAAATGCCTGGAACTACTGCCAATACTGAGAAACCTGTTCTTTCTCTGTCATTTTCATCCAGCTATAACACAAAGACCCCCATCCTACTGATTGGCAATAGCAGGAGAGAACCAGAGTATTCTCAACATTGAGACAATTTCACTAGTGTTGAGTCCATCTCAGTTCCCTCACTTGCCTAGGGTGTGTTGTCCAAATATGGCCTCTTCCATGAAACTCTAGCATCCTTGGAAGAACTGAAGTGCAATAGGCTTCATGGATCTTTAAGTAAACATCTTTCTCAGGGCACCTTTCCCCTCCTTGCTGTGCTTGATTTAGAGTTGGCAGCTTATTGTGTCTTTGTGCCTTTTGGTTAGGTGTTGCCTATGACATCTTATGGTCTAAGAGAGTAAAACATTTCTATATGTAGCAGAAATCAATCACCTGAAGCTTACCAGGTTTTCTCTTGAGACATTTGTGGCTTCTTGGATGACCTCTTATTCTTCATAACCTGTATAGATTAAGTTTAAGACAAAAAAAGTATTAAATTTTTTCTCACTCCAAATTAAAATTACACTGGATCACCCCCCCCACTTTAGCCTGAGACAGAGAACAAATGAAATATATATATACATATTTAATATGTATTTTAATGCATATACATTTAATATATATTTTTATTATATATGGTATTTGAAAAATAAAAGGTCTAAAATTTCAAAATGGAACTTTCTGTTGGAAAAGGAAATATTTGTGAAGGAAGGAGAATATACTTTCCAGAACAGCTCACATTCCCCGGCTAATTTATAGGCGTGCAAAGCAGAGCCTACTCAGGCAGTTTATGATAAGAGCATCAAGCACTTTGCTCTTCTTGTAGGTTTCTCCATAAGTTTCTGTTATTTAAAAGTTTTTTAAAAGAACTGTTTTTTTAATCATTTCAAATTGTGTGTGTGTATGTGTGTGTGTGTGTCTTTGTGTGAGCATGTGCATATGAATGCACATGACCACAGCGGTCAGAGGCACTGGTGCCCTGGAGTTAGAGTTACAGGTAGTCGTGAGGAACCAGATGTAGGCTAGGTGCTGGATCCTCTGGAAAATGAAAATGTCTCCTTAACCTCATCACATTAGAGAAAGGGACGTTAAATCAGTCATTGTGTAAGCTGTGTGGTCTCTTCTTTCTGTGTGTGAATTCTGTAATCCAATCAAATTGGCAATAGATAGTAACTTTCACAGTTACTATCCTAATGTTCATTCCTTTCCCTTTTCTATTGGTCCTTTACAATTTCATATGACCTTTGACCCAATTAGGTGCGGAGATTTTACAGGAATTCTAGAAGAAAACAATAGAACCAGAGATTTTACAATAACCCGCAGGATTCCATTTGAACATAAACTGTATGGGGCTTATCTGGGGTTATACAACTTTAAGGGAGAGAAAATTCAGAGGTGCTCCCAAACTTTAGAGTCTTCTTCTTATGTACAGTTCTTTTGGTGACAT